GAGAGAGAGAGAGAGAGAGAGAGAGAGAGAGAGAGAGAGAGAGAGAGAGAAAGAGAGAGGGTCATTCAAGCATTCTACAGATTTAGTTATCTTTCATAGGGACTAAAATGACTAATTTCTTGAATCTTTTTATGTGGTTTCAGGCTCTGAATTCTCTAAAGAAAGTGCCCCCTTAAGAGTCATCAACTTGGAGAACTATTGGAATGGAACGGAATAGGAACAAATGTTCAGCTCCCCCCGTGTTTAAGGTTTTGTCCAAATGACGAAGACCTTTGTGTCCTTTAGTTGTTGAGAAAAGTCAATTCTCTTCCAATACCTGGGGAGATGATTGGTGATCTTGACATATATAATTTTGACCCTTGGGATCTTCCTGGTAAGTTCAATTATAAATAATCATACGGCAGTAGAACTTATAACCCATCCAATCTGCTTATGAAATATTAAAGCACATCATACGAACGCTTGAGTTTGGCTCTACTATCTTACTTGGGTACAATCAAATCAGAGTATTGTTAAACCATTTAAACATGTTACTCATTTTGTCATCTTTCTTGGGATAAGTTATGTCAGACTTAAAATCAGAACTAAAATAATAATGCCTATTCATATATTTAAGCTTTTATCTACATAATATGTTGGTGTTGTCGATTGTGATACAATAGAATGTGAATAGTGTGACTTAAAATCAGAACTAAACACACCACATTTATTTATATATCTATGCTTGCATGATTGTATCTGCATAATTTGGTGGGATTGAATCTTATGATACAGTATAATATATACAATATGCTACATATATCTACAACCGTCCTTTATCGACTGGGATGGTTGAGATAAATCAATTCACATTGTCAAATTTATTGAGGAGTAGGGTCATTCATCAAAACATTTCCTTAGTGGCAATCAACGATGGTATTACATATAGCAACATGTAATGCTAAACTTTCCCTCATTTTCACTATTCAATTTGTAACCCCTACAATTCTTTAAATATGTTTGAAGTTCAGAGCCATTTGTTGATCTTTCTTTCTGTCTTTTGATTTTTTCTTTCTTTTTCAATACAGTTTGTATTAATTGCTCTTGATATTGATAATTTGATAGAGCTCAGTTAGTATTTTTTCTTTGTATTATATTTCTTTGCTTTTAGCTAAAAGAAATGGCCTGCTTGCAGTAGATGCATTCTTCGGCAAAGGCATGTGGTATTCTTTCATGCAAAGAAAGAAAAAGTTCAAGACAGGAACCAAGGCAAACAGAATTACACCTAATGGGCATTGGTTGCTCACCAACAGTAATGAAGTGATCCACAACGGCATTGTGATAGCCCGAAAGGCCAATTTAGTATTTCATGTGAGATCGAATAAAGAAAAGACCCCCTGGCTTTTAAAAGAGTATCATGTGCCCGTGGCCAATGAGACTCTAAAATTGGTGAAAGATGGTGAGGAGGTGAGAATCACAACATTTTTACCTATTTCTATGAACTCTATTTTAGAAAAAAATCACAAATTTCTTGCAATCATTTTTTTTCTGCTAAATATTTACATATATGTGTATTACTTGTCTCTTGTTCATACCGACCATTCATTTTCCCCTTCTAAGTCATCTCTTCTTTGAATCGCTATGCCATATCCTTGTAAGTTTATGTTGTTTGTCTCATTACCACTGTGTGGTCCAGTGGTTTTTGGTCTATAAGTAGCTCCAAAAGAACAACCACCATGGTTTCCTACCTACATGAAGTTGCATAAGAGTAACATCAAAGGTATAAATATAGCTCTTTTGTGTCAGCTGACCAGTCATGGAATTTTAGCAATGTCATATGACACTTAGTATATGTTTTTGAAACCAAAACAAAAAATATTGGCTTATTTTACAATTGCGAATGGAGAGTTGATGAGGCTAAATGCAAAAGATCAAACAATTCGCTTTTATGAACCAACCCATGCAAGTTTATAACCTTGATGCAGTTCCAACCCAATTAAATTAGCTCATTTCATGAAATTACAAGATGGTAGCATCCAAAGGATTTCCTCTGTAGAGTTGAAAGATAGCACTACTTGATTCATACTTGGTGGGAATTAGTGTGCCTCATTTCTTAGGATCACATTGGAAATTGGATAGCCTTACAAATTACGAACGCCCATAGTGTAATTGTCACATATATAGTATATCAAAACTTGGTTGTGGTGGAGAAGGTAAGGACAAAAAGCATAGAACAAAACAATGCATATTATGGATGATAAACTTGCTACTAAATTGTAAAAGATACAAAATCATTTATGAAAAGTATCAACAGAAATTAGCAACACTTAAGTATTGAAACAATGTACGTTATAATATCCTTAGCAAATGAACTCCTAAAGCCCCCAATAGTACAACATAAGAGGTAAGAAGAAGAAACAACAAATGGAAACAACATGAAGCTATATGCTTATATCCCATCAAAGCAATTTAAAGAAGGTCCTTTCAAGAAAATAATATGAGAGCCTTGCAATCCATTATGACTCACTAGTAAGAAAATGCATTTGCATGATCCTATACAGAAAATTTTTCGAGCTACACAGCAGATTCAATGATGTAAATTTCAATATCTGGACTAAACCTCTAAACCGGCAACCAGATAACAGGACTCTACCTCCATCTAATTCAAGTATGAAGATAAAAACTAGTTATAATATCTGGTACAATTATCAGAAACGATGTCATATCTAGTTGAACAAAAATTATGCTAGGTATGAAATAAAATCAAACATAAGTTCCTTAATAAAATAACTCTAGGATATGATATTAAAGAGTTCCCAAGACTCTAGTGAAATGAAGCCTAGCCAGCCATATTTGGAGCCTGGTTTGAAAGGTTCAAATCTGCAATTTTGGCTACAAAGTGTTAAAATAGAATTGCAGTGTGCGATTTGACATCTCTGTAATTGCTAGATGGTTGTACCTTATCATGCAAGTATTTGAGTCCCCTTATAGGATCAACAATAATTTTCATTCGTTGTATCCAATCAAGCACTAGACCAGGCTAGGCTCCTTTAATTACCTTTCTTTTGCACATGCAAGAAAATTAGAAGTCTTTTCTGGTATAACTGAATGTATATTTATAACAATCGAGTAACTGCTGACAAACAAGAATGTGAAATGGAAATTCGAAATGCAATGCAAGCTATCATATGGAGAAACCAACACATGGAGGTTTCCTCAAAACAGAGGCCAACAACTCGACCACATAGTCATGCCTCAGTCTTGAGACCATAGAAACATTGGGTACATAAAAACTGCATATAAAGAGTTACAAATGCTTAAAATTGAGGAGAAGATTAACAAACAACTAGCATCATGAAGTATACTCCCACCATCTGCTGACAAGTCATAAGGCCACTATTAACTTAAAGAGTCACATGGCTAGAGTCTGAAAAATGTACCTAAGTTAAAACTCAGTATTCAATTCAGGGTCATCTAAAACATCAAAATTCTTCATTACCACAACCTTCCTATTATTTAGAGTCTCTTAATAGGCTCCCATGGGATCTCACCAATCAAAGATTTTGGCCTAAAATTGAGAGTTTTATCATTGCAAATAACTGTTAACCTCCATCTTTTTTTGCTTCTTTCATTTTCTCTGGCTTACACATCAGTTTAATATAGCTATATAGGTCATCAATGTATTGTCTTCTCATTGTATGTTCAAATTACATGACATATGCGGTTTGATTGTGGATTGCAGTTAATTGAATGGGTCCTTTGTAAAGTTCACAAAGGTCGCCGCTGTGGCAAACGCCGTGCTAAGAAACAAAACTGCCCCAGACAAAGGACTTCTATTGGGAAACGCAGCGCTAAGAAACAAAACAGTTCCACGCAAAGGGCTAAAAGACGAAGACAATTAGCCAACACCACAACAGAATCTTTAATTTATGACATATCTCAACTGGTAAAGGAAGACATCCCTGAATTGGCGAAGGAGATTCAGAGTAATGGTAGAGACAAAATGGGTGACACTCATGAGGTTGATGCAAAAGAGGAGATAGAAGATGCTGAGATAGAGGAACTCATATTAGATTGCTATCGTGAGCTTTCATCTAGTACTTTGGAGATGCAAGTTGATGCTATGGATGGACTCATATGTGCTTATGGTACTGAGCTCTCTTCTAATAATTCAGATGACCTTGATTTACCAGTTTTGACACAGTTAGAAGAAGAAAATCAAGGTGATGGGATTGTTGAAACTGATTTACCAGCTTAGACACAATTAACAGAAGAAGAAAATCAACGTGATGGGATTGCTGAAACTGATTTACCAGCTTTGGAACAATTAACCAGAGAAGAAAACCAAGGTGATGGGACTGCTTAAACCTCAAGGCATTCTTTTTTTGATGCCTATAGTAGTACATATGAATCACAGGCTTTGACACAATACGAAGAAGATAAGTTTTGGTATCCCGATCCGCTAATTTTAGATGACTGCTACATGCCTATGGATCAATCTGGACTCCCTTCCCTTCCTAGCAGCGAGGGTTTGGCCTCAGAGGTAGCTCATTTTGGTATTTGGGGAGAGAGTTGGCCCATGTTCCAGTAGCTCTGGGAAGACAGTTGGCCCTTGTTCTAGTGCTTCCTCCACAATGGGGAACTAGCACATTCTTCTTGGATGAGTGGGTTTTACCTCAATTGAAGAGTTGTTATCGATTGCTATGCAATGTAAATGAGTGGGTTTTACCACAATGGAAAAGCTGTATGTAACCGAGTGCCATTGTTGAAAGTTATTATTTATTGGAATACTATGTACATCACTGGGTTTTACCACAATTGAAGAGTTTCTATCTATTGGTATATGTAAATGTCTGGTTTTCCCCATAACTGAGTATTGGTTTCCTAAACTTTTTTTTAAAATGAGATCAGTAGAGCATTAAAAGAATTCCACTAAGCATGATATTCAACACTTTAAACATTGCATGCATTGAGAAATAGAGAGATCATATGTCAACTCATTTATGGGATATTTTACGGTCATTGGGAACTTCACATTTACATTGTTGTATCTGTCGTCTCGAATAGAAGAGTAAAAGATTTGATAGTCATATTTAACTCTAAAGATTCATCTCATTTTTCCAAAAAGAAAAAAAATCAAAACATTATATTTGTTTATTTTTTCATGTTATGTACTAAATAAGGAGACATGAAATATCTTTCTTTCTCTAACCCACCCAGTTGAATAGGAGTAACGACTTGGAAAAGTTATGTATGGCAATTGGGAATTGGGCATCTACGTTCAATCTCAATAAAAATTATTGGAAATGCCGTTTATCTACCTACATTCACACACAATGCTCAAGGCCTTGAAGTCAAATTTGTTTACAAAAGTTATCACACCTAGTCTATCAACAAGGAGCATTTTACTTTCTTTGTGTGTGAAAAAACATTTCATATAGCCTTATTACATGCACTCGTTTGCAATTTCTAGAGAAGTAGCTCATGTCTTAAAAACTCTTTAAGAAAACCTATCTAGAGGAATTTGTTTGGAACCGAATATTGTGACTAGTATTCATCCCAATGTACAAGTTATGGAAAAAAAAACAGGCAAACAAAACCTCGGAGATTTTCTTTGAAGACAAAAAATGCAACAAGTATAGATTGTTATTACATGAAGGTGTAAATGACAAATTGAGGCCATGGGAGATTTTTTACCCAAATTTTTTGTAGATGTCTTCATCATCACTAGATGAACAATAAAAAATAGAAAAGTTTTATTTTTAGTTCTTCATGGCCTGGATATAAAATAGATAGTTGGCATTTAACAAATCCTCTCCCTCCTTATATTTCTTTCTAATTTTCATAAATTAGTCGCCAATGTAAGAGAGTGTTCCAAAATTTGAAGTTAAACAAACCCCATGGATCGACTTTTTATGAATATTTGATCGTTATACCCTTTATTTTCCGGGGTTGTTAACTTTACAACCATATTTTTATATATGGGAAAAGATCTTGTCAGTCCATGGGCTAATTGCTACTGTAAACGCTTAAGGCCCAGATTGAGATTGAATCTGGACCCATTTAACGATCACGATCTCATTACGTATTTAAATTTCTATTTTTTTTCTACAAATCCAAATTAGTTGAAATTTGGGGCGTCTATTTTTCAAAAATAGTAGAATTTAATAAAAATATAAAAAAATAAATCGTACAATATTAATTGATCAAAATACCCCCAAAATGTATCGGGGGTATTTTCATCCATTTATATTTTGTGCATTATTTTTTTTTTTTTATTCGGTGTGCCTTGATGCGAAGAATGAACGCTCCAAATTTCAAGTGATTTGGATTTGTAGAAAAAAAATTAAAATTCAAATATGAAATGAGGGCATGACTGTTAGATCGGCTCAAATTGAATATGAGCCATGGGCCTTTACTGTAGCAATCAGCCTGCAGGCGTATGGAATCCACTCCCTATATATTGCTCTATCTATATGGGCAGTGATTTCATGCAACGGTTGTATCATAGCATAATACAACAACACTTCTAAAAAGCCATGTTTGCGGTATTTGTATGACCAAAAATTTTACGCACACAGTCTCTTCATCTCAATAATCAATCCCAAAAAAAAGAGTTCAATTTGAACCTTAGATATGGTCAAAATGAACCCTTCCAAAAACGAATCTAGATCATTCATTTGGTGAATTTCAAGATCTTAGCCTTTATAAACTCAAATTTTTTTTCTTTTTTTAACATTGTTCATCTAATAATAATAAAGCCATCCAAAAAATCAGAAGTGAGAAAATCCTTCTAAGGCCTAGATTTAAGCATATCACCAAAATGAACAGCCTATGTTAATTGGGCTAAAAAAATACTTTCTAGGTTTTTTTTTTCAATTTTTCTTTTTGTGATTGTTCGTTAGAATGAAAAGAGTGTATATTTCAAAATTTGGATCCAAAAAATGGCCACAACTTAGTTTTTGAAGATTGTTGCATCATATTACTATGCAACCGTTGCATGAAATCATTGCTATATATATATATATATAAGACACTACAAAACGCCTATAGGCGAAAATGAACAGTGATTTTGCCTACCCTCATCACTATCCAAAGTTCATCGCATGATTACGATTGTCTGGTAGTTTTTCATTTTTCATTTTTTTTTCTACAAATTAGATTGATCTGAAATTTGGAAAATGTGTTTATAAGAAATTGGTGAATCTATGAAAAATATCAAAAAAATATTTTACATGAAAAAATTGACAAAAATACCCCCAAAATGTTTCGGGAGTATTTTGATCAATTTGGTTTTTGTAAATTATTTTTTTAAAATTTTTATTAGGTGCACCTCACTTAGATGTACACACGGTCCAAATCTCAAATCAATTGGATTTGTAGAAAAAACAAATGAAAAATGAAATACTGCCGGACAATCATGACTGTGCGATGAAGTTTGAACGGTGATGAGGTTAGGCAAAACCACTGTTCATTTACTACAAAATGTCTATCGGCGAAAATGAACTGTGGTTTCACCTACCCTCATCACAGTCCAAAGTTCATCCCACGGTCACGATTGTCTGATAGTGTTTTATTTTTCATTTGTTTTCTACAAATCGGAATGACCTAAAAGTTGGAGTGTGTATTTATAAAACATAGGCAAATCTAAGAAAAATATCAAAAAATTTTTTTACATGAAAACAATTGATCAAAATACCCTCAAAAAGTTTCAGAGGTATTTTGGTCAATTGGTTTTTTGCAAATTATTATTTTTATATGTTTATTAGGTGTATCTCACTAAAATGTCCACACGATACAAATTTCAAATCATACTAATTTGTAAAAAAAAAGTGAAATACTATCGGACATGTGGGTTTCAGTACTGGAACCTTAAAATATTTTTTCATATTTATTTATGAAATTTAAAGTTTCAAAAATAGTGTAGATTGACAAATCTATGAAAACTTGAAAATCTTGAAAATTGATGGTCTAAAAATGCGTTACAAAATACACTATTTCTAAAACTTGAAATTCATTTTTTTCTCATCTCCATGCATCTTGATGTCGAGATGCTTCGACTCTATATATATATATATATATATATATATATATATATATATATAG